GCCGAGTGGCCTAACTAATCAATTTAGAGCGCTTTTGCATTCTGGGCTTCATGTCTTCTGTCACATAACCGCTCTGAACATCATCGGTTGACGTGTTGCCCGCAGAATAACCAAGCACTAGGAAATCTGAACCTTGTACTTTCCAGATCTGGTCAGCAGTAAATCAAGTGTGCAGAATATTAAACATCAACATCTAATATCCCTCCAAGCGGCAATCAATGCTGACACAAATAGGATCATTTAATTTACTGAAGGAGGTGCTACATTTTGTCAATGAGTGACTTGCCTGCACAAGTGGCATCTAGAAGGCAGCAGCCATTTTTAAAATCAGGCTTTCTCAGTGAACAATCACAGAAGAATGAGGCCAGGTTTATATGGAAGCTGGATAAGAAAAACAAGTGCTGATACTTTTCTAGCTCCAAGAATAGACTAGAGAAAAACTAAAAAATCAGGAAGCAACTGTCATTTTTAAGGAGCAGATGGAGCTCCTGGGATTTGTGCATCCCTGTTTTAATGTATGATTTGTTTTATATAAATACAGTATATATTAGGGATGCGCCAATACCATGTTTTCCAGACCAAGTCCAAGTACTGACAGATACCAATTAGTAATACTACTAATTACTACTAATTAGCGACAGTTTTTTTTAAAAACACTACAGATTAAAGATTTCAGGACAGTGGGGGGCCACCAGAGCCCAGTCGCAGTTGAAACCCTGATAAATCTCGCAAAAATGCCAAGTATCGGCCCTGGTAACTGGACTGGTATTTGTGCTTCCTTAGTTTTTACCTCCCTTTTTTCACACCCACCTCTAATCTATCCAGACAGGCGCTTTTTTCCCCTTTGCCTTGTGAGATCAGATATACTTATCTAAGTCCTTGATGGCGTCTGAGATTGTTGGTCCCCTTCATTCCCCTTCACTGATGTCAGTACTGTTCTGGATCCTGAGTGGACTCTGGCCGATGAACATAAAATAGGAAGTGTACACCTCAAGCAGGAGCTGACGTGGACATTCAAAGATGGACCCGTGGAGGAAGTAAACAGAAGAGAACAAGACTAGGGGCTACAGTGTCATATGACTGTGGTTTAAGGTAAGTAAAAATGGGCTTTTGGATTGGATTTTTAGACAGCAATCGAAGAGAGGGGGTTCGGGGGTAAGGATGATCGGTGAACTGTAACCTGGAGTGAGGCTTTCAAACTTGGTGTGCTTTGTGTGTTTCCTTCAGATCTGTTCAGTAATCCAGTTTGAAACTCTGCCTCAGGAACTTCTTGTAATAAAGGCCGGTCACTGCTGCAGCAGGTTTTTATTTGAGTTTGTAATTCTATTGAGGATATTTTCCCTCACTTCCTTTCCCTATGACACCTGTACAAGAAATGGGTGGTGCTGTTATAATTAGAACAGAAAGCAATAAAAACCCTTTGTTAGTAGTGTGGACTCTATCCCACTTTAGCAAATACTTGTTTTTGGTGTTGTCTGTGTTACTGTGGTAGAAAGATCTCAACAATTTCTGTCCTGATGGGAATTAAGGGGGGATCTTCCGAATAGGGACACAGCTGGCAATAAAAAGCTGAAAAAAATGCTAAATCCCTTCCCAAGAGTATCCAAAGCAAAATAAAATATTTAGCTGGTGTTGGAATTGAAAGTACCACTGAATGAGCAATTCCATGGCTGAAGCTATGCTGCCTGGTCTTTGAGCCAAGCATATCTGTCCTTTAGTTTTTGATGGTGTCCATCCATAAGAGCAGTGGTACTCAACTTCTGTAATCTCAGGACCCACATTTGCCCTTGATCATTAAGTTGCGACCCAAGTGTGGGTGGGAGGTGTGTTTGGGGTGCCATTTACATGAATGGAAATGCAACGAACCGACCGCACCAGAACGAACAGTAGGTGCGATTGTGCGGTATTTTGGGATTAAAACACTGACAGACACACACAATCACAGCCATATTTTTTATATCTGCTCGGCACGAGAACTGACAGTGCTACGATATGGGGAAGGCTGAGGAGCCTCTCACCTAGTGCAGTGGAAGGCATGCAGCAACCCACTGAACATGGGGTCGTGACCCACCTTTAGGTCACGACCCACCAGTTGAGAACCACGGCATTAGAGTCTGCATCCACTACTGTATGCCATTCCTGCAATTTCATACTGTTTATGGTCCTAGGACTCCTTTCTAATATCTCATAAATAAACAGGTTTAACAGATACATTATCTTCCATATAGCTTAAATACACAGGTCTTTTCTTTTTTATTGGCACTTACTTCTGAATTCATTTTCACAGAAGCTCAAGCCCTTTTCAACCTCATTCCTCATCTTATAATAATGAATATTGTGAAATATTTCTATTCAAGCCTTTGTATTATTTGGATCTATACATTTTTGAGGGGAAAATATTTTATCCACAGAGCGGGAATTTACCAGCAGAGCCAAGCTAGTAAAGCCAATTGATAGGCTTTCAGGAGAAGTGTACTGCACATTTTTTTCTTTGCAGTATTTTTGTTAATAAATGTCAGAAGATAAAATGTCTGAACAATACACTTACTATGTGGAAATGTGCATGGCGCACTACTTACATAAGGTTTAAAGCTGAAGTTCAGTCTGCTTATATTTTGCCTTCCCTGGTTCCCCATATCCCTTCTTATCAACATGCTAATGAATGCCTTAAATGAAGCTACTAGATTGTAAGCTCTCACGAGCAGGGCCCTCCCAACCCTATTGTTCTGAAACTGTATTGTACTGTAAATTGTATTGTAACTATACTGTCTCCACTATTTTGTAAAGCGCTGAGCAAATTGTTGGCGCTATATAAATCCTGTATAATAATAATAATAATGAAGCCTTTCTGATTTCATTAAATACCCTTTTTTAGACCCAGGGACATCATCACTGGGTCTTTTTTTCTCTATGCAATGCAGGCAGTTCATGGCTGGTGGGGTTGACCAGCAGGATGTTGTACATGCTTTACAGGAAGCTGTGATAATGCTTATTTTTTTCAGCCTTTATGAAAAAAATAAAATCAAATGAATGTAAGTAGTAGGCCAGAGAGTTCAGCTTTAATATGCATCAAATGCACAGTAACAGCTCTGTAGTTAAAGATGAACTCTGGGAAAACCTACTCCCGCAGTGGGGCTTCCCTGGCATTGCAAAGGGTTAAATGCTTGTTTAGGTCAAGGGTACCTGGAAAAAGGACTTTTACTTACCTGATCCCCACTCACAAAGGCTCCCTTCAGGCTACAAAGCTGGCACCTGCAGCCTCTTCCTCCCAAGCCCCGGTGGCTGACATGATTGAGTACAATGCAGGGCCCGTTGCCCTGCATTATATACTGTATGAGCAAATCGAGGGACAGTCCACAAGCCCTGAAATTGGGGGAGATGTGGTGAGCACCAATTGCCGGGGAAGAGATCAGATAAATAAAACTGCTTTAACCAGTACATTAGACCTAAATGTGTATTGCTTAAATGTGTATATAAAGGCACCTTTTTCTTTTTTTTTAAATGTTCAAGCAACTTCCATGCTTTTGTATAAATGCCTGCTGGGGAGATTTGTCCTCCTATTTCCCTGGCAACTGGATAAGAAGGTTTTTCCCAAAACTTTGGAAAGATTTCCTCTCACTACCAGGACCAGAAATGAAGAAAAATCCCCCAATGGGATACAAACACTAATTTTGAAAATAAAGTATTGCTTTTAAGATTTGTAGGAAAAAGACACATTATAGAAGATATACATTATGAATAAACATTGAAATAGAAAAAAAATTATTAAAATAGAAAAAAAATTAAATAAAATCGCCTAAAAATTAGTACAGTTTGAGCTTTAGTTTACCTTTCTCCTCCGAGGAAGTGAAACCATAGGAAAAAAACAGCCGTTTTGTTTTACAGAGAAATGAATTAAAGTGGAATTGAAGCCCAATAAAATGGTAGAGATTTTCAGCAGAAGAGACTTTGCGTGGGTTTATTACAAAAAAAACAAAAAACACACCTTTTCACATATATATGCTAAAAAAAAGGACGGTTGTAAGGAATGAATTGTAAACAAGGATATACTTTATGAGCTAAACAAGATGGCTCCTTCTCTGTGAAAAAGATAAAGACTCACCTAAATAAAATACTATATAAAATAGCATCTCATTATCATAATAACGTCTCCATTTTGGTTTCAAGATTGTAAAATAAATAATGAAATGGTGTCAGGCCAGGTTCACACTTGAGTGGTCCATGATCGTGCGGCAATTGTGTATGAAACCACACAGTCACGGAATCGCACACCACCGCTAAACTCGCTGGTGGTGCCATTCTTTTCTAATAACACCTCAGTCGCGCCAGGTAGATCGCGCGGTTTCCAGCTGCGATCCTGCCTGTGTAATTGCACACAATCGCAGCTGAGAAAAACGTGCATCGCAAAAAAAGGTAAATATACCTTTTTTCAGCGATTTCCACACGAATATAATCCCATTGATAATCAATGGGGCCTCGCAGCAAACGATGTGTGCAATCGTGCGGTCGCAAGTGTGGCCTAATATGTCATGTGTTGTCGTTCATCTGAAGTTGTATTTACCTAATTTTATGACCTGCTAAAAACCAGAGGATTTTTAATTGTTCCCCAATACCTAAAACCATAGAATTCAAAGAGGGTGCACTATCTTTTTCACACAACTGTGTAAGCATTAAAGATTTATTGTTTTTCTATATATGCATGCTGTTATAGTGATTTTTTTGGTGGGGTCCGGATGATGTAGATGTCTCTTACATGTGAAGGTCTTTTTTTTCTTTCCCATATTTTTGAGTAGGCTGATGTCACTCATCCGAACCCTAAACTTTTGACACAATTCATAGACATAATTTAGATAATAGACTTAAAAATTAATTTTTACATTTGGTGAGTAAAGTTTATGCTGGATCAAAGCCCATCAAGGAGACATTAAAGCCCCCTCACCATTAGGTGTATATGCACACATTTAAAGTCTACTAGGAGTGCACTCTAAATTGTGTCTTACCCGGTGAACAGTTGGTGAACTCAATGTCATCAATGGCTGCTCCTCCACCGAAATTTCTTGTGCGTACGCCTTCAAAAATAACTTCAAAATGCCTCAGCTTTCCCAGGTGAATCTTCACTTCATTCCACTTGGCGTTTTGATTCTCCGACTGTCCCCATAATCTTTTCAGGCCAGTCTCTGTCTAAATAGAGGCCAAATGGGTGTTACATCACAAGTGTAATTTAGTACGAAGCAAAAAACTGTGAAAAGGGAGGGTAGGAGAGGAATATGCTGTACTTGTGTTTTATTGCGCTTTATTGTGTGGACATTCTCAGATCCTTTAGTAAATCAGCCTCATAGAGTTTTATCAAACTAAATAGCATTCTGTTAGGGTTCACATCTATAGTACTTTAAGGGACACCAAACTCTTCTACAACCTAACTTTCTCACAAAACAAACATATACCCTGCGCCAATATAAAATAAAAACTAAGAGAGCTACAGAGCACTCACAAATACAACTAAATAAGTGATACTCTACATAAAATGCAATTGAACAATGTAGCGCCAAACTACAATCAAAAACTTTCTCACAATGACTACATAGGAAGTGGTCAGAGTTTACTTATATTGCAGATGTTCTTAAAGTGTTTCTAAAGCAAAACTTTTTCAGTTTTAGTAATAGTAGGGAATGTTTAGAAGTAGGGATGTTCAGATACCAGTTGAGATACCAGTGCCGATACTTGACATTTTCATGAGAACTACCAGGGTCAGAGCGGTTGCAGCTGTGACTTGGCTCTGGCGCTCCACCACTGTACTGAAATCATTAGTCTGTATTGTTTTAGAAAAACTGTCACATGACAATAAACAAAAATGTATCAGTACTTGAACTTGCAAAAAATAGTATCGGTGCATCACTTATATATATTTATTTTAAAAAAATCATACATTAAACAGGAATGCACAAATACCCGGAGCTCTGTACGCTTCTTAAAAATGACAGCTGCCTCCTAACTTTTTAATTTTTCTCTAGTCTAGTCTTGAAGCTGGAAAAGTATCTGTACTTGTACATGTACCGAGTGCGGTACTTGGTATTTGAACATCCCTATTTAGAAGACCTGCCATGTTTTCATTACTGTGTGTGCACTACTAGGGAGATTTCCCTTAATTTCCTGTCCTAGAGACAAAGCAGGAAGTAAGAACAACTCTCTCAAAGTGATGGGAAATCCCTTACATGGTTGTCATAGAGACAGGTTAACCCATGTCACCTGTATTTCTTTAAATTTTCTTTCTCAATGCCCACTAGGACAACCAATTGAAACATTTACATACATTTTAACTGATTTGGTTGGTGGGATTGGTATTCAAGGCAGGAAATACCATTTCAAAATATGCTAAAAGCTTTATAAGGAAGAAGAAAGAAGGGCAATGTCCAATCTACCTTCGAATTTACATATCATTGTCTTCTTCAAAGCAGAAGTTCAGGTGCATTTAGGTTTACCTAGTATGTTAAGCATTGAATTATTGAATAATTTTTAATATAATGTACCCTTTGCTAAAACATCTTTCTACCAATCCCAGTGTTGCCAGCTGTCCTCCTGTAATAACCCCATAATAACATAAAATTTGGTGTTTCAGCTGTACAATTTTTCATTTCTTTGTTAATTGGGAAGAAGAATTTTGGATTCTTTTCAAACATGACAAATGTAGCTGCAAGGGGGGAAAAAAAAGCAAAGCTGAAACTTGATTGTCCCCAGAGATGAAATTGCTTATGTTTTTATGACATGTATAATACATTCTGTGTTTAAAGGAGAACTCCAGGCTATAGAACTAAAAAAAACATGCCTGGCCCCAAGTCAATGTAAATGATTAAATGTAGACTTTACATCGCTTGCTATCTGTCTGCTAATAGTGAGGTAGGTAGATACAGTAGGGATGAGCAAAATTGAGGTTTAAAGTACCCAAAATTCCATTGCAAATCTGAATTTTTACATAAAATGTTGCCATTTAAGGTGGGTTTTAGTGGTCTTGTAATAGGCTTTAAATTAATCCTGTGGGTTACTGAGGCTCTTTTTTTTTTTTTACAGAAAGAAAAAAAAAACAGACAGTGAAAAAAGTTAAACATTTTAAAGTGGTAGTATACAAAGAAAAATCAAATAAGCATTAAAAAAAACACAAATACAAAGAACACTACATGAAATAAACTATACCACATGGAATACACCAAAGAAAACAGATTAAGAATTTATGCTCCTTATATCATGTAAGTTGACCACCCCTGTTATTATTACTATTTATTACCGGTGTTCATAGAGCACTGTTAATTTTACGCAGTGTCAAATATTGTACATTTACAGTCATCAGTCTCTGCCCTCAAGGAGCTTACAATCTATGGTCCCCATCTCAAATGCATACATACGCACACTAGTGCCAATTTAGACAGAAGCCAATTAACCTACCAGCATGTCTTTGGAGTGTGGAAGGAAACCCATGGAAGCGCAATGAGCACATGCAAACCCCATGCAGATAGTATCCTCGCCGGGATTCAAAGCGGGGACCCCCGGAGCTGCAGAAATGCTAACCACTAAGCCATTGTGCTCCCCTTTTCTAAGCTGTTTTACTGAGACTGTGTACATACAGAGCACATTATACCTGTGTCCAGAGAATGAGATACAGAGTACACAACCTAGAGCAGAGAGAAACTTCTCACTAGTTCTTGGGAATATATTATCTGTCAGGTCACTCTTAAAAACTGTGTTACCCTGCATCTTACACCCGAGCTGGGCTGTCATTACAGTTAATGGTCATTTAGTAACATGAATTCTAAGCATATATAAAAGAAACAAATGCATGTAGCTCTGTATTAACTAGAAAATAATTAAATACAGTATATAAATTGTAAATGCAACCAGTATACCCAAATTTTACTTAATGTCGGCCTGCCATGTACAGCAGCAGTGATAGGAAAGTCAATCAGCTGTTCTATATGCAGATTTGTTGGCGATAGACATACTGCTAGGAGGAGTGAGTAGGGAAATTACCTAATCAATCTGATGCTGCTATTTTGCTGTTCAGTTAGCAGGTTGGGGATGGGGAGAGTACATCTTTGTAATCCTAAAATGTAAGTGATATCATACACCTGGATGTGCTGTGTGATAGGGATATATAATATAGCCTATTTGCTTTAAAACAACTGTCACAACAAGCAACTATATCTGTGTTATTTCTTAAAGTCAACCAGTGCTTTGCCTATGCATGGCATAGCAACAAGTTCCACATGATACCACTTGCCCCAAGCAGCTCACTTTTCCTTTACTCCATGGATATGAGGGAGAAGGTGACTCACTCCCCTTCCTGTCATGTGAGACCACTGGCAATTGATCCAGGGGTCTGGGAAAAGATCCTTAGTCCTGTGTAAGCTCCAACTAAAGTGACTTAACCCCTTCATGACTGAGCTTGTTTTTAGTTTCTGTTCGTAAATGACTGACACACTTTTGACATTTTTGCTGTGTGATTCTTCCACGTCAGTAATATACTTTCTTACAAAGTGCACCCACACATATTATATATTGTTTTTTAGAGGACAGATAGGGCTACATATTTATATCACATATGTGTGTCTAACGCCTCACTTAGGACAAATAAAATATAAAAAAAGAGAAAAAAACCGTTAAAAAAACACTTTTTTCCCAGTTTTGATTTGTAGTATTTTTTTTACAACACCAGCACAGCTAAAAAAATGCAATAAATACATTCATTTATTTGTCCCCTATTTTATTTTTTTTTTACACATTTTTTTTTTTTACACTTTTCACTTTTTTTTAAACTTAAAAATTGTATTTGATTTATTTAATTATATCAAACAGTCATTGTGAATTAATCTCACTGTTACTGCTTGATAAATTAATACATTTTTGGTTATTATCAGGCTGCTTCAAACTTCTGAACAGCCGATAATAAGTTAGTGACACTGATCCTGCAGCAGTTCAGGATTCAGCTGTCACTATAGGTTTTCTAAATGTTGCAACAACGATCAGCAAACTGAAACATTCTTCTTCCAGGAATAGATACATTATAGGAATAGACACATTATGGGGTCTATTCACAAAGCTGCCGAGGGCAGCCGAGTGAATGACCGATCAGAAGTGAAGTGAGCCGAACACCGTTCGGCTATTCACTTCAGGCTGGTACGGCTGATTTCAGCCGTATATCGGCTGAAATCAGCCGTACATCGGCTTGCTTCGTGTGGCTTCGGATCAGCCGAACATGCTCAGCATGTTCAGCTGACCCGATGACTCTCAGACACCCGATATTAAGGTATCGGGTGTCTGAAAAAGGTTAACCCTTTCATTAATGAATGCCTCTGTAGTAAGGGCATCTATTAATTAATGTTAAAAGCTGATTCTCAGCGTTTAACAGCCCTCTAAAGAAGCAAATAACTCGTCACGTACAGTGTACGTGACAAGTCATTTGGTCCCTTTGTGGCTGGACGTACAGTGTACGTCTCCCGTCACGAAGGGGTTAAAGGTAACAGAAGGCTTGCTTTCCCTGCTTCTGCCAGATACATATAATACACCAAATGTAGTCAACACCGCTGACGCCAGTAGCTGCAAATTCAGCAAAGAAGGACGAAAAAAAATAGAGAAAGCAGCATGAAAAGGAAGAAAGTTGATTAAAGAAGGCACAGCAAGTATAACACAAGCAGAAGATATTAAAAAAAAGGGGAAGAAGGTGAACATGGGATTTCACATGGGATAAAACAACCTTCATTTTTCATGCTATATTTTTGCTAAAAGCTAGCCTCGGCATATAAAAACATAATGTATCACAGAAGCCACAGCTGCTGCATCATTAATCTTTCAACAAGCAGGTTCTGAGTGATGTTAATTAATTTGTCCTTTCATGGTAGGTACAAAAAAGGCTAATACAGTTTCTGCTGGTCAAATTATTATGTGGAAAGGGATCTCAAGGGGTCAAAGGTCATGAAATCCATAGATTAATGTAGGGAAAAGTCAAAATAAGGTATATTGTAAAATGGGGTTATTATTCAAATGCCATCTCATTAAAATTCCCAGTGCAACAAAGAAATGGAAACATCGATACTGTCACATCGGTTAATTTCAAAGTGACTTTGCACTGCGCTGGAGAAAGGGAGATCGTCAAATTAATGATCAAGTGGGCTCTTGTCTCTCTGCTCCTTCTC